TGGTACACTGCCTTGAATTATGGTCTACCTGCTATTCTTCAGCAGATATGGTACACTGCTTGAGTTATGGTCTCCCTGCTTTCCTCAGAAGATACAGTACACTGCCTTGAATCTATCTGCAGCTGCCAAGCAGGATCTTGCGGTTGCCAAGCTGCAGGGGACATTGTGCAGGTGGGGAAAGGTAGGGGGTGAGGGTAAGGGCGAGGGTCCTGGCTTCTGGCAGCCATGCTGAAAAGCTGAGGTTCCAACACACAAAATTTAGGGGTATGTGGGGAGCAGAAGAAGAAAGGAGTGGGTGTGTCTTGTTTAACATGGACATGGGCTGTGTCAAGAGCCCCAATGCCTCATACCCACGGTAATGACAATGCCTTCCCTGGGTCAGGCTCAGGGGAATGTCCAGACCTTCTGCTGGTTTGAGTACAGCCTGAGACTGCTCACTACAGAGACCTCCTACCAGGATCAGCTAAACCAGCCTCCTTGTTCATCTGTATGCTCTAAGCCCATCTTCCCGTTCAGCTGTTTGCTATCAACCCACCTCCTTGTTCAGCCCTATACCACAACCCCACGTCCTTGTTCATCTCTATGCCATAAACACATCTCACTGCAGAGGCCTACAATAAACCAGCTGCGTTTCCAGGCTGTGGTGCATCTCTATCAGAGTACATAGCCCACCCAACCCCAGCCTTTCTGTCATGTGTCTTTCTTCCTTGTCACCCCAGCGAGGTCAAGCCCAGAATCATGCAGGTCTTGGTAGGGCAGGCATACGTACTGAAACCATAGCAAACGAGAGTTGATGTTTCTTCAGTCAATGACTGGCACCTAGGCAGACAAAGGAGGCACCATCCTAGAGAACAAAGATTGTCGCTCTGTCTCTCTGTGTAAAGTTCTGTTGAGATACTCACTCCATAGACCAGAGCAGGTAGAGGCTCTTTCTCCTGGAAACAACAGCAGTCACGTTTGCCATGCCTTGGTAGGTATCCCATGAGAGCTCTTGGGACACTTTTCTCCCTTTCCTTTAGTCTGTATTTTGTCTTCGAGATCACCTACAATTCTGCTGTCAAAGTGGAACCATCCCCCTACTGTCTCCTCTTCTCTTTGGTCTGGCTTTTCTGCTAACTCACATGATGCAACTGCCTCTGAATGACTTTTGGGGTGGGGGTGGGGATCATTAATGGGGAAGAAGGGAACTAACCACAATTGTTTTGTATGCTAGCTACAAGTAATAATTTGAAAATAACTCATGCTTTTTTTGGTAATAATCCTGGGTCAAAATTCAGTCAATAAATACTATAGAACTCTAACCATGACCAATTGGTAATGTATGCTGAACATTGCACATAAGGTACCTAAGTGAATCACAAATTATGTGATGTTATAGTCAATTTTTGGATGGACAAACTGAGATAAGAAAAAGTTTAAAGCTTAGTCAGAAGGCAAGTTCTGAAGGAGATATTTTGCATGCCCTGTGGCTGGCTCAGTGGCTGTCCCCACTGGCTCACTGAAGTTAGTTTCTAGATGTTGTCTCAGCTGAGGACTGAAGCACTTGTGGAGGTGCTTACTAGAAACTGGGTTTTAAAACTGACACCCACAATTTATCACTTCTCTGTGACCGTGTGGTTTCACACAGAGCAAGGTCCGCCTACTGACAAGTTCTGTTGTTACACCCTAAGAGCCAGACCAGAGATAAATTGATAATGAAATATCAAAGAGTGACCCGTTCCATGCAGACGATGATGATAAGGTGATGTGGTAAATCCTCTCTGGTTCTTCACCTTAGACCAGATGGCCATGGGCAACTATATGGTCCTGGGGTAAAGGTGGACACCAAAGACCATGTCTCTAACAACCTGCTTTTCATTCTTAAGGTTACACAGCCTCATTAAGGGAAGGACGTGAAGTGGGCCAGGATTGAAGTGTCAGGGTGAGTGTAACCTGAAGGACACTGGGACCTGAGCAAAATAATGCTGTCTAGAAGAGAATTTGCTTTCTTACACAAATGCAGAGCACAGCTATTGCTGTTCATAAACAAGACAAGCCAATGGCACCAATGCTTCTCTCCCCGCAGTGATGTAAGCAGGTGTCACGATGCAAAACATGTGGACAGGGAAATGCTCATCCAGTGGCCGCCACTGGGCTTTCTGCTGAAGTTCCAAAAGGAAGATAATGCATGCTGCTGAATCCTCCTTCTAATACCTACCATATTATCCACTGATTACCCCTCTGCTGGGCTATACACAGGATGGCCTCTGAGTAAGCATTCATTTATAATCTAAACACCAAAGAAGATCCCCCCCACATACCATTACTTCATCTGTGAATAGGAACTCCCCCAGACAAACAGCATCCTAGTTATTTATTCATCGACCTACAGCCAGCCTAGCACACGGCAACCAAGCAGGAGGAAGACGAACAAAACAAGAGTATTAGAGTCACACATATCAGCCAGGAACATCCTTGGAATCAAAAGAAGAAAATCAGGAAACAGGAAGAAGACAAAGGAAGATGCCCAACACTTCTTAACAAGCACGCATTCAAATCAGAATACACGCAAGCTAGCATTTTAGTGTTTATCCAATCAGAATGCACCCATGACAACATTTAGTGTTTTCATATTCCCACATAGAATCGTTTGGCTTGATGACTCTGGGAACCCAGACACCAAGACTGTAAAGCTCCCTAGTGATGAAAACTGTATTTATCGGGTAATGTACAAAGATGGGGAAGCCAGGACTAGTACACACAGACCCATTAAGACATTTGGAAGTTTTCTTCAGAACCAAGAACCCTAAAATGACTGAGACCTCTCTCTGTGCCTAGGAAAACCTGCTACATTCTAAGAAAGTCTGTGCTCTACATGTTAGAATCCAACCAGATACAATTCATCCATCTTTAAAAAACCAGGGTTTCATCAACGGAGCAGGCTAGGTCCGGGTTCTTAATGATGCCATAGTAAGAACCATGAAATACATCATGTCCATGTCAACACGGACAGTGACTGTCACCTGACGTAGTAAGAAGCATGAAATGCATCATGTCCATTACAATACATGGACAGTGACTGTCACCTGACATAGTACATTAATTCTTCAGACCACTCTACCATCTTCCTATTTTATATCTTTTCTACTCTAGATGGACACCCCTGTGCCTGTGAGTTTCCCATACCACACAGCACATCCGTCAGCGTCTTCTGAACAGTCTGCAATGTCCTTTTCACCTCCCACCTCCAAAGCTGATCTTCAAACTCTTCCTCAGAAAAAAAATTTTAAAGGTGGCATCATCTGCTTGCTACTCTACAATACACAGTTTTCCCTTGCAATGTGGCATGGTGCCTGGGCTTCCTTGTAATTACCGGGAAAGATAAAAAGATACTTTCCCAGAGGCAGGTGCACCAGAGCAGGAGTCAGACCGGGGCTCATTTTTCTTTCATTCTTCTTCTACTTCATGGCCCCAAACTCGTGTAGAGGTAATATCTACACCTGACAAGAGTTTGCTGATTGATTGGAGAGATTGTAAGAGTGGGACTGGGAAGAGAGGAGAGGTGAGGGGGTCATGATCAGGATGTAAAGTGAATTTTAAAAAGTTTAAATAAAGAAAAAAGTCAAGAAAAATATTTACTTTGTATATGTGTGTGTGTGTGTGAGCACAGAAACACACGTGTGTGAGTTCTTATGTATAACAAACTCTAAAGATTACTCAGGCAAAAAAAGTTTGGAGTGTATTTATCCATAATAGAGGATTTAACAATAACTGGTTTCTAATAAAGATCACTTTCATTGTCTCGCTAAATAAGATAAATAAATAAGTACAGTATTTCCAGACTTGATCCTTAATACCGCCGACAGGTCAGCTATAGCTCTCTTCTCTCTTTTCCATGAACAAGACTATTCGAAGGCCACTTGAGATGGTGGAGACACTAGGTGAAAGATGCCTAGTCCCCTCATAAAAGCAGAGAGCAGAGATCCCACCCCTACTGGTTTCATACAACACGTTGTGAAAGGTATGAAAAACCCTTTACCAGAGTTAAGCCACTGATACATTGTTGGGTTACACTGATAAGCACATCTCATATGCATAAGCGAGAACTTCCAGCCCTGGTTCTGGGGCTGAGGATAGACGTTCTGGTCCAATCATGCTCACACATCCCGTGAGCTGCTCCTAGAAAGCTCTCTCTATACCTGTTCTCAACTGCGGGTCTCCTTTCTTACCCCATCGTTCCTGCTCCTCTGCCTATTTCTGTGAGCCTCTGACCTCCCTGAATGACACAATCACTCTCTTTGCTTCGATCCTAGCTCGGAGAAGATTTTTTTTAAAAAAATTATGGCAGACAGCCTTTAGCACATGCTTCCACTGGTAGGCTATAAAATTTTGCAGAATGACTGTGATAAAACAACATGAATGTAGTATCGTTTACAAGCTTTTACCATTATCCGTTTCATAGGTCTTTCTGGTCTCCTCCAGTCACGTCCGTCTTATTAATGCTTTATGGTAGCCCTGCCCAATAAAAATGTGGCGCAAATCACATGTGTAATATGCGAAAATAATTAGACCCAATATAGCTTAAATATTACATTTTAAAAAATCAAGTCTTCTATGTGGTGTGCACACTTGTAGCTCGCGTCTCTTCAGACCTGAAGGCAATGAATGCAGCAGCACTGCCCACTTCACGCAGCACCATCTTGGTGGCGCCAACGTGAAGGAAGGCGTCACTGGAAGTCCACTGTCCAGTCGGGTTTGGCTGTCTGTCTGTCGGGAGGGCTAGCCTGAGGGGAGGGTTCCAGCCCTCTTGTCCCCACCCCCACCCCCACCCCACCGCCAGGCGCCTTGGGCCACCGCTGTGGGCGGGGCCCTGGGAGCAGCAGCCCGTGGGCTGCGGTGACAGGAGCGTGGGTCCAGCGGTCCCCTCCGCCCGCGCCCGCCCCCGCCCGCACCACGGAGCCCCGGAAGCGGCGGGATTTCCTGTGCCCGCCCCACGCCGGTCCTGTCGCCTGTCGCTGGCTGTGCGGGCCTTGGGCTCGGCCGCGCCGGGCGGGAGGCAGAGCCAAGGGGCCGAGCCGGGGTGAGTGGGGCCGGGGTGCGGGCGGGCATGGAGGAGGGCGCCAGCCTGGCTGTGGGGACGGTGGCGTCGGTGTCGCATACCCAGTACTGTCGCTGTCACTGGCATGGGCGTCCCCGCAGCACTCTTCTGTCACTTGCTTTAGCCCCGGCTCTCAGAAACCTGTTTTCTGGTCCCACTTAGCCAGCTCCAGAGTCTTCTGAAATCTGACTCTCCACGGGGTGCTGTGACTCGGAGAGAAGAAACCTTACTCTGCTGCGGGCTCGGGGCCCGAGGTGCCACACCCGCGGTGGCGGGGCCACTGGAGCCACTCTCGTCCCTGTGCCCTTGGGCCACTTTTTGATACCAGGGCCCTGCCTCTGTCTAACAGAACTCGCTGCAGAAAAAACTTCAGCAGGTACCCTGCCTCCTAGACACATAAACAGGCAACAGAAATGAAAGCCCAAGAACCCAGGCTCCAGCGGACTTGGGATCATCCTGAACTAGGGGAAAGGAAAGAAAGAAGACAGGTTAAGGCTGAAAGCCCAGGTGCTGGCCCTGGCACGAACACTCTAGGAAATGCATGCAGTTCTTGCAGAGCCACACCTTCCTTTGCTCCGGGGTTTGTTCCCGCTAACATCTCCACAGGTTTCCTCTCGTCATCCAGCTGGCCCAGTGTGGTCTGCAGAAAGGTGTCCCATGGAGGACTCTCTTATGAGGGAGGTGACAGGGAAATGGGTTGAGACAGGTGTCCGGGTACTAAACTGGAGATGATCCTGCTGGAGGGCTTGCCTAGGCAGCCAGGGAATAAGGACTGGAGATGCGGAAGGGTGATGGTGCCCTGCGCCTCTCAGAGTGAAAAAGAACACAGGCGCTGACATTCAGAGATCTAAAACGGAAGTTCCCCTTAATACTCACCCGCTTTCTCTTCCTCACCTAATGTCTCCGAAAGGGAAACCACCTAAGCTGGGAATCAGGCCAGGAGGCCCCAAAGCCATCTTTAAGCTTCAATGATGGAAGAGGAATTTGTTCTTTCTGTACATTGTTCTTAGAAATCTTTTGTCAAAGGCAAATAGACAAGAAAATAACTGGCCTGGGGTCTGCTGTAGCCTTTCCGAGCCTCCTGGGTTCTCGAAGATGTTACTGGGTGATCCTGTGAGCCAAAATAGCCCCTGAAATTCTGACTTGTTCTAGGGAGATTACTGGCCACTCCGACTACGTGAGAAGGGAATAAAAAGGACAGAAATGGATTGCCACACAGAGAGTTGTTTTCTATAGTCATTATCAAATGGGACCTGTCTTGCTCTAGGATTGTTGCAGATTATAAACAAACAGACCAACAAACACTGACCTAAATCTCTTTCTTGTGATCAAAACCATCTATTCTGTTTGATACACAGACATGTTTACAGGTGGCCTGACTGGCCAACCTCCTGTTGCTTGTCAAGCCCAAACTATGTCTGTGGGTTTAGCTTTTCCAGTGGCTCTGTTTCCTGTCCCTTTTTTTGACCCGAATCTCTTCTGGAGAGCAAACACTGGCTTCCCCATACCATCCTTGAAGTTGGATATATTCTTTATAAGGCCCTGTGACTGGTGCCTGTCACATACTTCAGCCCACAGGCGTGCTGATTCTCTCTAAAGCTGCATTAATAACGCCGCCTTCTCGATTCCCACCACTTCTCCATGCTCTGATCTTCCCAGCATCTTCACTTAAACTTCAGCTCGTCACCAGTCTGCAGTTCCAGCCCCGTCAGGGCTGCACTGGGGACTTGGAGCTTGTCTGTAGAGCTGTCCAGGTTACTGGTCTTTCTGCTGTGTTTATATCAGCTCTCATTTCCTATGTAAGATTGACAGATCATGGGTCCCTTTGCTGAGACTTTTCTTAAGGGAGGCTATATGGTTCAGCTTGAAAGAGAGAGCAGATACTTAAAACAGGTCACACCCCCAGGTGGGACTTCTACATCAGTTGATAAGAATGTAATCTGAGGCATAGAGTCTCTAGGTATGATGAGGTCTTTGTCTTTGTTGAGTGGACTCCTTCCCACATTTTCAACAAATTCTCTGCACCTTGAGTGATTGAAATACAATGGATACCCTCTGGATTTTCAGGATTGGTCTAATTTTATTTTAAAATGATCTTCTTGCAGTCCTGGGGGAGTTCTGTTTATAGCGTGAGGCCTTCAAAATAACAGGGACTTGACTGTGTGGCACCTGTCAGTTCCTGAGCTCCTCCAGGAGAGCTTGGCTCACCTCGTGCTTTGTAAGCTTGTCTTCCGCTGGGCTCCTCTGACTGTTTCCTGTCTTTGGCTTTGGGAACTGTTCTCTGAAGCTTCCTTGGGTATATCGTCTCCTTCCACAGATGAGTGTATCAGTTATTGGCTTGTTCCAGGTCACAGTGCAGACATGCTTTCAGAACAGACTGTAGCCCTGGGCACAGGATGGGAGCCAATGAATGTACAGCTGGATGCGGCAGAACCCCAGTCAGAAAGAGGAATCTGGGAAGAAGGCCCATGGAGAACATCACCAAGGCCACTGGAGCACCTTCACTGTGGTCTTGAAGATGAGTCACTGTCCCTTCAGGAGAAGGGTAAGAGCACACGGGGGGTTTTGGAAACACTAGAAGTCTAATGGTCTCCGCTTATAAAGTGGCATTAAAAATTCCAAACCTGGCTAGGTGCGTTTGCTCACACTTGTAATCCCATTCCTCAGAGGCTAAGGTAGGAGGATTGCCAAGAGTTCGAGGCCAGCCTGGGCGACATACCATGGCCTTGTCTCAAACAACAATAGTGATCTTAATTGCCACTGACTGAAGAATATACCAAATACCAGGTTCTGTCTGTTTTTCCTGGGCCCCGCTGTTCAGCAAACAATGAGGTCCCACATCTTCAAAACTATGTAAGCAACAGGCTTCTTCTGTTTCTCACATGGTCATTTCTCCAACAGGCAAGTTCGCAGTAATGGTATTGAGTGTTGGAGACACAGAAAGTGCTGGGAGACTTATTGCAGTTGGAGACTGCAGTCAGTAATATGCAGTTCACATGACAAGCATCAAGCAGTACCCTTCCAGACCACAGCTAGTCTAACTCAATGTCCCTACATCCTTGGGGAACTGTTTGAGTGGAGGCCTCTACATCTCTAATGTATGTGTTTGAGTTTTACCAGCAATCACAGATTGGGAGGATAAATAGGTCCCCGTGCATCCTGGGAAAGATGGGCAGTTCATCTCTGATGGTTCCTCTCTCCCCTCACCAGCTCCTTCTGCTCCTTGGGTCCCTGCTGTACCCCAGGAGGGGAGCACTGGAGACTGGGAAATGGCAGCCGCACTTCTTGCAGCTGGATCCCAGGTGAGCTGTGCTCCCCCGGTCTCTCCTAAGGTTGGTACTGTGGCCTTCCTACAGCTCTGGCATCATCCCACTGGCGTGTTAGTTCCCGTGAACACTAAGGTGTGCTTAGAACGGAATAGATTCTAAGGGATGTATAATAGTGTTTTGTTGGGTGAGTGTGTTATCTGTGGGATGGGGAGTTCAGAATAACTGGTTGATCAAATCAGGCATGGTGGTGCCTGCTTGTACTTACAGTCACCAGGGAGGCTGAGGTAGGAGTATAGCTTGAACCCAAGAATTTTGGGCCAGTCTGTGTGGCACAGTGAGACCTTATCTCAGGAAGAAAGAAAAAAAAGGAAGGAAGGAAGGAAGGAAGGAAGGAAGGAAGGAAGGAAGGAAGGAAGGGAGAAAGAGAGAAACACAGAAAGAAAGAAAGAAAGAAAGAAAGAAAGAAAGAAAAGAAAGAAAGAGAGGAAGAGAGAAAGAAAGAAGGGGAGGGAGGGAGAGAGAGAGAGAGAGAGAGAGAAAGGGAGAGAGAAAAAAGAAAAAGTCCTGGGAAAGATAAGAAAAGAGAGGCCAAGGAATACTTGGAAGAGCATCAAGTAGACGGAGTGGTATAGATTGTAGAGCTTTTAGGAAAGAGAAGAGAAGAAAGAACTATGCAAAGATCTGGAAAGAACGCAAGTGGAGAGATGAGCCGTGGAAAGAGCAGTGTCGGCAGTGGTGACATTTCAGAACGCCTACCACGTGAGAACGACTCTGTCACTCCATTTCACTTCGAGAACAGTGGTGCAGAAAAAGATGGAGTCATTTGGATAATGGCACTCCTGTGGTAGTAGCTAAGAGCTGTTTGCCTCTAAACTTCGGGCTTACCCACTGTGCTGTAGCACTCGAAGAAATGTCGTTGGCATACCAGGGAGGCAGGCATGTCTTGTTTATATCATGTTGTGTTGACAGAGAAGGGAAGGTCAAGTGGAGGAAGGAGGCTGTGGTACAGTCTACAAGAAAGCCTGAGGCAGGTAAGAAGAGACACAGTAGACACCTGTAGTTATTGAGTAACAGATCTGATGAGTCCTGGAGTCTCTGATGTTTCGTGGTCTCGCCTGGGAACTATCTCTAGTCACTTTACCCACGTTCACTCCTCTGTCTTGTTTCTTTTTCTTTGTAACAAAGCTATGGGCCTTGCTAAGTGAGTGACCTGGTAGTGGGTTTTCTTCAGGGCCCTTTCTTGCCCTCTTTCCTTGACCATCTCAGCCCTTCATGGTGAGGTCGTGTTTCCCATCAGAGCAGCTGCTAATGGACAACCGCCTGTCTTGTTTCAGGGCCTAGTAACTATCAAGGATGTGTCCTTGTGCTTCTCCCAGGAGGAGTGGCGCAGCCTGGACCCCTCTCAGACTGACTTCTACGGAGAATATGTCATGCAGGAAAACTGCGGGATCGTCGTCTCTCTGAGTAAGGAGGATCTTAAGTACCCTGGAAGGATGGGGCTGCCCGCTTCTGAGTGTTGGAAATTGCCTGCCTAGGAGACTTTCCTTGGCAGGGACTCTGTCTAGGCAACAAAGAAAGATGTTTGTGCTAAGCCCAAAAGAGTTGATGTGAGGGATCTCTTTGTAAACAATGCTAAACTGTGGAATGGAAACTTGGGGCTAGTCTCGGGTGGGAATTTGAGACAGCTTTCACAGAGAGAAAGGGCCACCTGGAGCTAGATCCTGGAAACTGGAGCATCACCCTGGGGAAGGTGAGGATGGTAATGGTCAGACTTAACAGTGTTAAGGTAAAGTCGTAAGCAGAAAGGACATGGCCGCAGGGTTTGAAGGAAGAGAACTGGTTCATTGGGAGAGAGTGGGTGGTTTTCCAGGAAACGGAAGAGGGACTTAAGAGATGTGACCAGAGGTTTGTGTCTGGCTTTTGTGTCCTGTCATCCCAACGAGGAATCTAGGATTCGATTTTGTCCATTGATACAGAATTATTGAACTAACCTGGTGTGTATGTCTGTTTCCTTCTCTCCTGGACAGGGTTTCCCATCCCCAAACTGGACATGCTTTCTCAGCTAGAGGGAGGAGAAGAACAGCGGGACCCTGGCCCCCAAGACGCAGAAGGGAGGGACATCCTGAAGGTCACATATACAGGTGAGGACCTAGAAACACTCTTGAGGGTGTCATCTTTACATGTCTCTAGCTGAAAGGTTTGGTTTTCCAAAAGCAAGCTGGGTGCAGAAGGTGTGGAAGTCAGGCTGTGTGGGTTTGGCCTGTAGCCCATACCCTTGAGACCTTGTATCTGAGTTATTACAGTTAAATGTGTTAACACCTGGGAGCAGCAGATGAGCTTCAAAGCACATAATAGGCACTCGAAGAGTGCTGACACTGGCGGTCAGCATCCGAGTCATCGTAGAGATGTCTTCTAAAGCTATCCGATGATGCTGCCAGCTGCCGGCGATGGCTGCAGCTCACGCCTCACTCTCACTCCATGCGGAAGAGTGAAGATGGTGCCTAGTAGTGATGAATAGTAGTAAATAGTGCAAGCAGACAATGTTGATAAGCAGATAGCAGGGAGAGCGTTTAGCATTTACTGAGTGCTTACCAAGAGCAGATATGATTATAGTAAGAAGTTCAGTCCTAACACACACACACACACACACACACACACACACACACATATATATATATATATATATATACTCACACACATATACATACATACACACACACATATATATATACACATATACCCTCATATATATATACACACACACATACACACACATAGACACACACACATACGTACACATAGACACACACACGTACACACACATATACTCCCCCCCACATATATATATATATATACTCATACCCACATACACACATATACACACATATATACATGCATACACACACACATATACATACAGACAGAGAAGGAAACTTTTCCTGTTTTACAGAAGAAACAAAGACTTAAAAAAGTACGGTGTCTCAGATGAAAACTAGGCTTTTGAAGATCTCGGCAGCTTCTGTGCTATCTTGGGCTTTCCCCCAGCCCCTCTGGGCTAACGTTTGGCATGAGACAACGTTCCCTGAGACTTGGGTGCTGGGATCCTATCTTGGGACTCTCCTTTTAAGAGCTGCATTCTTCCCTCCTCATAGGAGATGGAGGTGAACCCAAGGGCGACACTCCTGAGCTAGAGGCAGAACCTCCCAGAACAGTATCCAGGGTGTCTGAAGATACAGCTGTCTGGAACCCAGGCCAGGGTCCAAGCTGGGAGTCCACACCCAGGAGCTCCACAGGAACGCTCCTAAGCCCACGTTTTCTTCAGGAAGACAGCGTCTCTCACCTTCTACGTGGCACCAACACGGATTCTCTCTTAAAACCACATAGGTGCCTTCAGTGTGGGAAACAGTTTGTGTGGGGCTCCCACCTTGCCCGCCATCAGCAGACTCACACTGGAGAGAGGCCCTTCAGCTGCCTCAAGTGTGGGAAAAGCTTTGGACGAAGGCATCACCTGATCAGGCACCAGAAGACCCATCTGCATGACAAGCCAAGCAGGTGCTCCGAGTGTGGCAAGAGTTTCCGATGCAGCTCCCACCTGGCCAGCCACCAGAGAGTGCATGCGGACAGCAAGTCCTGCAGCAAGGGCCAGGAGAGTGGAGGGAGTCCTGGGGCTCAGCGTGCCCTGCCAGTGCCAAAGTGCCATGTGTGCACTGAATGTGGGAAGAGCTTTGGCCGAAGGCACCACCTGGTGAGACACTGGCTGACCCACACTGGGGAGAAGCCCTTCCACTGTCCTCGCTGTGAGAAGAGCTTTGGCCGCAAGCACCACCTGGACAGGCACCTGCTGACCCACCAGGGACAGAGTCCTGGGAGCAGCTGGGACAGAGGAACATCTACCTTTTGAAAGCTGTCTCTTCTGTAGCTGTGGTCATATCTGTCAGCCAGTGCTACCAGCAGCCACTGCCAGAGCTGCCCCCCTCCTGTACCCTGAGGGCCGGAGCATTTCTCACCACTTCTGTGAGACAGCATGAGAAAACAGAGTTCTCTGGGCAAAACTGTGGGAAATGGTACAAAATACGTGTGTGGCTATTCATCCTGAATACTTTCAAGGGTACAGCGGAACCAGCAGTGATAGTTGAGGTCCATCCTCATTGGTTGGAGTCTATGTGGTACCAATTCTTAAATATTTACTCTACAGTGAAAGAAAGTGAAAGAGGCCATGTTCGTATATGAAGGGCTCTGAGAACCTCCACAGCAGATTTCTGTTCATGTAAAGTTTCTTAAATTTCTTTGGCTCTGGGATCTATATCCCACAGAATGGGTGACTCCATGAAGTATACTTCTGTGAGCATTGGGCTAGGATGAAAGGAAGGAATAGAAAAGAGGTGGTGACCAGGCATTCAGAGCCTGAGAGCAAGGGGCCAGACACTCTTGCTTCTCTTCCCCCGTGATTATACACCTCTCACTCCTCCCTCTGAAAAGTCTAGACTGAGCTTTCACTCCCAGTTCATAGTCCCCTCATCCTGTACACACACACACACACACACATGCTCACAATGCTTGACATGCACATACCACACACACACCACATGTATACACACGCACACACACCATATATGCACACACATGCACATACACCACACACATACACATGCTACACACAAACACATACACACATACACACACACACACACACACACACACACACACGGCTGAGAGATCAGGTTACAGAACTAAAGAATGAACTTTATATCCCCAAGTAATTGAGGCCCACACGGAAGGAAAAACTATCCCCTTGAACAGAGCTTTCTCTTGTCTGTTTTTGTGTCTGTGTGTGTATGTGTGCAGGATCTTTGAAGACAGCATGCTCAGTGCAAACTGTACAAGTTAGGTTTTCTAGGAATTGTGTTCTAGGGATGAGGGTAGTGGGGGACGGTATAAGTTTTGGTTTTGTTTTAACGTATTCTGAGCGGTAAAGGGGGTTGAGGTGGAATGGTGGAATGATGGCTTGAGTTGCCTACAAGGTTTTCCTCGGTATTCCTGGGACGTAGACAGGTTATGGACTTTTATATCTAGGTCTGAATCTCCTCGAGGAGATTCTCTTTCCCTGCTGAGACAGAAAGGGACAGTGACTTTTGGTTGTTGTTGACCTCAAGCGATGTGACAGTGGTTCGTGCTGCATGGGGTTCTGTCTTGTTTTGTTTTAAGTGCTAAAAAAATTAGAGCAGGGGTCACAGCGCTGGGAGTTACTCTCATCATCCTAGTTTGGCCTTCATCAAAGGGAAGAACCGTTTCCTGAGCATCTCATTCTCCCAGGAAAAAGAACTCGAGGAGAAAAGGCTGTCACTCACCTTGGCGGCTTAGGTATAATGAGCTTCCTGACCGTGTTCCTTCTGGTTCTGGGAAGGGCTTCACACGGAAGGCTCTTGCCTCTAAGGTTAGCTCCTACACCAGGGTTCAGAGGAATGTTCTCATGCCTGTCGGTTCATGCGTTTTCATTGTTTTTCTTTTTGGTGATTGTGTTGATACACATCTTACAACTTAACCTCTATCTAAGAGAAGTTTGGAGTTAGGGAGGAAAGGAAGCAAAGCGTGTGAAAGTGGGTGTTTTCAAGGCTCACATGCTGGTTTTTCTCCTTGAGATATGAATTTTTTTTGAACACTGTTGGAATTAGCCAGAGAAGCAGAGGAAGTGATTTTCAACAATCTAGTTAATGATTGCTCTGCTTGGGGAAAGCTGGGTGGATCAGACTGAACTCTTGGGCCCTTGGCTCAAGATGAATTGAAACAGAGTCATTTTGCTGACTGGGCATTTTGGTTATTTGAACAGCCCCTCCTCCAACAGGTCTCTCTGCCGCTGCTGAGGATACCCCCACCCCTTCTTGAGCTAGGATGCATTCTCTTGCTTATGTTCTGACGAATTAAGCAAAAAATGGGCAGCCTTTTGCAAGCAGGCCTTAGCCTTCCTGGATTAATTGTTCTAGAATCAGTATTATGAGAATGAGAAAAATCTCCCACTTTAATACACATATTTAAGATAAGTCAGTTCTGTACAAAGCCCCCTGTATCGAAACATGTTTCAACTTAGAGATCCCTTGGGAAACTGATGGAAAGCAGCATTAACTTTGCAGAAAAGTAGACATTTACAACTCATATGCATTAAGTGGACTCAGAGCCTGCCCGGGGCGTCTCCAAATGAGAGGAATTGTCGTATAGTCGTTAGTGGTGTCTCATACCTTTAATCCCAGCCGCGAGGAGGCAGAGGGAGATGATTTCTATGTTCTGTATGAGCCAAGGCAATGTAATGAGATCCTGTCTGAAGAAAAGCAGAAGGAGTTTATCCTGCCTGGTTCTGGCTGTCGTGTAGATGATACCTGTGTCAAGAATTATAAGGCAAGAGTCATCAGGTATTTTAAGGACTTAAATATTGGAAGGTACCAAGAAATGAAGACAGAGCCAGGCCTGCAATGACTAGGGTCCTGCTTATACTGACTGTGCTCTGGTCTTAAGGTGCATCGACCTGCTCACGGCTCAGCTCACAACGCTGGTTTTAAATGCTTGTAGGAGTTATGTTCCTACCTTAACAGACGATACCTCTTAATAACAGTGTAACCTCCAGCTTTTTATCTGCTTTAGTAATTGCAGGGATAGGAAATGGAGCCCCCCAAAGGGTAGGTGCGGTTACAGCACCCAGCCGAACGGCAGCACAGAGTTTAAGGGCTTTTTGCAAAAGGATCAGTCCTTTGGCTCGTTTCTGGTGTATCATCATCTTGTCTACCTCGGTCCAATACCAACGCCTTTGGACAAGTAATAAAATGAGCAACGGCAGTTCAATGAGTGACTGGGTCTGATTCGTCACATAGGAAGTGAGTCTTAAATGTACACCTCCTCAACTCTTGGGTCTCGTGACCACAGTCTCCAAGACCCTTACATTTGAAAGATTTCATGTGTATGAGTGTTTTGCCTGAGTGTATGTATGTGCGCCATGTATGTGCGTCTGACGCCCTCAAAGGTCAGAAGTGGGCAGTGAATTTCCGTAAAGTGATTTTACCTACCATGTGGGTGCTGGGAATGGAATCCAGGTCCTCTGCAAGAGTAAAAAGTGCTCTTAAAGGTGGATCCATCTTTCCAGACCTAACACGTCAGCCCCTCCAATTAAACATGTCAATGTTTTCTCTGGGTAAGCTATAAAACAGGGAAGTCCCTTTTTTTTTTAAACTATGGCAGAGTATTGTGTTGAGGGGTGAAGCAAGGGACTGAAGGGGAGGTTGTGTCTCAGTCTGGACAGCCCCCAGTTGCCCCTCCAAAACAAGCGTCAGAAACAATCCTCTTCCCCGCCCTCTCCCCCACCATGCTCGATCCTGCTCGGCTTCAGGTGCTGCTGGCTCAGTGATCAGCTCCATAGGGTGCTGTAGTGGCAGGACAAGAGTGGGTGGGACCTTGGAGTTCCTCAGTCTGGGACCACTCTGCAAGTGCCCACTATGCCTTTGCGGGACCGAGTGTGGAGCCCGGGATAACGCTGACCCGCTCCAACTGACCTCTAGCGAAGTTCACAGAAACTGGATGTTTTCAGGAAGCACAGGTTGGGTTGGGGCATCGAGAAAGCCGGCTCTGGGGTTGCTTTGAGTGGGGCGGGGCAGGGACAGAGAGGCTGATGGTCGATCCACTAATGTGTTGTGTTGAGATCAAGCCCCAGGCCTGCAGACAGAACTGCCTGGCCGCATGAGTGTAGCAGGGGCTTTGGGACTCCATGCTATACAGAAGCCTCTAGACCCTTCCTTAAGGGATGTGCCTCAGATTTCTATGCACTGGTAAGAGCAAGATCAGAAGTCATGTTGTCAACTTGACTACAGTATAACTCTAACAGATTTTTTTTTCTTAATTGGACCCACTTTTTATCAAGATCGCTTGAGGCAGGAAGATTCACCTTCAATCTGGACCACATGCCTTAGGTTGACAGCCTATATAGAGGACATGGAAGAAGGAAGTTCACTCTCTTTGCTTGCTTGCTTTTACTCTGGCAAGCCATTCCTTCATACATGTTAGAGCCTACTTCTTCAGGATTCTGGCTGAGACATCCAGCCTCATGGACTGAAAAATTATTGGATTCTTGGACTTTCCATTGGTAGATAGCCATTGGACTACCTGAATCACAGCCTGTAAGCCACTCTAATAAATGCTCTCTGTGTGTGTGTGTGTGTGTGTGTGTGTGTGTGTGTACATATAGGCATACATTCTGTCAGTTCTAGATATCCTTCTAGATATAAAGGAAAATTCATCAGAATAACATTTGACTTCTCAATAGAAACAGCAACAACAGTAACAAAAACAAAAACAAAAAAAGAACAATGTATTTACTCTAAGTTGTAAAAAGATAAACCAAACCAAACCAAACCAAACCAAAAACCACAAATGCCAACCCTCACTCCCTTACCAGAAGAAAGCCGTGCATTTACTTTAAGGTCTAAAAAATAAAACAAGCCAAACCAAAACAAAGCAAAACAAAATCCACAAATGCCAACCCTCACTCCCTTCCCCAGTAAAGCTCTCTACCATCCTTGAAGCAAAAATGCAAGCCCCAGGCTTTACATACCAATGACCTCAACTCCTTAGTCAAAAGATATAGCTCAGTTAAAAGGACTTGAAAGAAAAATCCACCTTTCTCTCATCTATAGGAAAATCATCTTACTTTAAAAATAGACAACACTTTAAGGCAAATGGATGAAAACATTTTTCCAAGCAAATTAGGTCAGAAAGCAAGCAGACATCGCTGTCATCCTGTCTGACAAACTAAACGACAAATTAAAATTAATTAGAAGAGATAAATAAGACCATTTCATCCTGCTCAAGGGAACAATGAACTAAAAAGACATTACAATTCGAAATTCTGGTATACCCAGTCTCATAAAAAGCATAGCAATGGACTTCAAGACACAAATTATCCTGGACTCAGCAATAATAGATAGCTTCAACAGTATACAGTCCATCTGGACAAAATAAAATAGATGAAATAATTCACTTGAGAAATTATTTTGGTTAATACATCTGAACCATAGACAGGGTGATAGAAATCTCAAACGTGTTGCCAAGGCTGATGTGACTGTTGGCGTGGGGGGAAAGAGCTGAGAACTGTCTAAGAAAACACAGAAGGGAGTCAAGAAAAGATGGTGGTACCTTAGTCACCTCTCAGAAAATCGTCAGATTTAAATGACATCAACTATCATGATCTATCATGATCCTTACATATATCTATAGGATATTTTGATCAAGCTCCAAATATATGTATATGTGTATGTGTATATGTGTATATGTGTACGT